TGAACCGGGCAGATGACAAGGGGAGGCACAGTTCTAAGGTACAGTTTTCAGTGTTTTTATGAAGAATGGAGCCTCTGAGGCCAATGTGAATGGGGCCATGGTGCCCCCAAGGCCCTGCAGACCCCTGTTCTAGGCCCGGGAGCAGCACAGCCAGATGGAAGCCTTCTGAGGGGAGGCCTTGTTCATGGGCAAGTGCACATGTAACTTTCCCAGCCAGCACTCCAACCCCTCCTTCCTGAGCTCAAGCAGTGATTGCACCCCAAAACAGAGAGTCGGGGGGCTACAGTGAGGGCCACACCCTCAAGCTCCTTTCACCTTCTTGGCTCCCATGGAGCTGGAGATGCGGGGAAGCCTGTTGCTGCTGCCGGGAGGTTGGTAGGACACTCGGGACACGCCGTGACCCTGTGAGGACGATGCTCACAGACCTCCAGGGGCTACACAGAGGAACGTGGGCCTCACCATGGCGTTTGCCTCATGGTGGGGCTGACTCCTCATGCTTCTGGGAGGCGCACAGTGAGAAGAACCTAAGTGACCGGGTCAGAGGGAGGTCTGCAGGCCTCGCGTCCTCCTCAAGGCACCAACATAGCAACTGCAAGCTCCTCTCAGACAGAGTCCAGGGAGCTGGGCAGAGCAGGAACTGGTGTCTCACTGGGCAAGAGGAAAGAGCTGTGTGCTCAGTAAGCAGGGACAGCACCATAGCCTTGCCCAGTGGGGAGGCCTGGTGTCCCAGCCAGGTGAGCCCTCCTGGGACCCCTGAAGTCTGAGCATCATGTGGTTCCCCACCACCGATGAAGGCCCCCCGCCCCCCAAGGACACATAGGTGGGGAATCTGTGATTTCCATGCGTCGGGGCACGTGGACAGGCTTTTCATAGACACCTCCTGCTTGGGGCACCCAGATGAGGAACAAAGCTGGTGCTCTTTCCCAAAAGTCAGCATGAGGCTCAGGAGGGGTCTGGGCCTCAGGCGGATGGAGCAGCTGCGGGAACAAGGAACACACTACTTAGAGTCCTGGACGACTTTCCAAGGAGCAGATGGAGGTCGCTGGCTGAGGCAATGGCACCATGAGTCAGAGAGTGACCAGGACACAGGAGCAACGTGTAAAGCTTGTGGGCTGGCCCAGCCCTGTTAGCTGCCTTCGGGTCTCACCAGGAATGGTCTGCATCAGTCTGTCATCCCCCCAGGCACAGGGGTGGACACTGACCAGGATGGCTACCTCTGCCCCACCTTCCTGCCCTGCACATGGGCCCTTCCACGGGACCCTCACCGCAAGAGCTCGTGGGCTGTCCTGGCTTCTTCTCCAGTTCTGGGGTGTGAACGGGGCTCCCCAGAGCTGCATGGTCGTATCTACATCTGAGGAGGAAGTCCGCAGTCATCTGGTTAAGCAACCCCCAAAGTGTCCTGGTGGGTAGGTCACCACAGGTTAGTCCCACCTCGGCCCATCGGTGGCTCTATTAAATGACCCTTTCGGGGGTGGAGCAAGTGCGTTCAGTTTCTCGTAGTCAAGAAACTCCCAACTCCCAACATCCCAGACTTCCTGGAATGACTGGTGGTGACCTGCCTCCGGGCTGCAGCCACGTGGGCAGCAAGACAAAAATTAAGACTGAAAGAATTCAGAGGTATGCCTCCTAAAGCAGGAACAACAAGAGATAAAACAGAAACATTGAACTTCAAGACCGAAAACTTCCGTGCTCCAAAGGGTACCATCAAGAAAGTGAAGACAACCCACGAAATGGGAGCACCGTATATATATGTATGAGGAGGAATGTGTACCCATAGTATACGAAGAACTTTACATCTTAACAAATGGCCAGTATACACATAAAAAGATACCTGATATCATTAGTTACTAGGGAAATGCAGGTCAAACCAGTGAGATACCACGTCCCACCCACCAGGATGGCCAAAATTGAAAAAGTCAGGTAGTAACAAGTATCCCAGAAGGTGTAGGGTAATAGGGCCTGGCCGCATGGTGGTGGAACTGTGAAGTAAGGCCGCCGCTGTTGAAAATGCCTGGGCCCACAGACAGGTGGTTCCCCATGTAGTTAAACAGAGAGCAACCACGTGACCCAGCAAGTCCCCTCCCCAAGTCACACCCGGCAGAAATGGAACTGTGTCCACATGAAGCTTGTGCACGCAAGGCTTGTGCAGCTCTGTTCGCAGAACCCATAAAGTGGAAGTAACCCAGATGTCCATCAGCAGATGGATGGGTAAACAGAGCGTGGTTGGCCCATACACTCGGTTTTATGCAGCCGTGAGAAGGAATGGCGTTCCGACGCGTGCTGCATCATGGACGAGCCTTGGAAATACTACGCTCAGTGAAAGAGGCCAGATACACAAGGCCACACATCACATGATTCCATTCACACAAAATGTCCAGAGCAGGGAAATCCACAGAGACAGGGAACAGACTGGCTCACCGGGGCCAGGCATGGCAGGAACATGAGGGGCAAGGCAACGAAAGTGTTCTAAAATTGACTGGTGATGGTCGCACAAATCTACAAAGCTACTGGAAATCCTTGAATTATACACTTTAAGTGGACAAGTTAGAGAGCATATGATTGATATACCTATAAAGCTGGTAAAGAATAAACTTAAAATCTTTTCCAGGAAATTCAGGTCAATGTGGAACACATGAGAACTTTCTGCTGCCTAGCTCTGTGTGACAAGGTAGATGTGCTCCCAGACACTGGCCAGTCCAGGGCAGGCCAGCCGGGGGGCCATGACGAGTGGGGATGGCTTCCAGGAGCACTCACACACCATCTTGGCTCTCTCCAGCCCTCGAGCCGTCTACATTTAACAAAGACCAGAGCCTCAGGAATGAGACTCAATGGGGCCTGCCAGCACACCTGGCCGGGTATCCCAGCCAACCTCCCCCCAGACAGTGTGCAGTGGCGGGCTTCCCAGCATCTGCGAGCATCCTTGATGGATATCTGAGCAATGGGGGAGTGTGTCAGCCACCTCTCGGAGCCCTGGGGCTGGCCACCTGTGCTCCACCCCCTCTACATAAGGGACAGGCTGCCAGTACACCTTTCCTTCCCTCTGCGTTCTTCCGCACAGCTCCATACAGGGCTGTGTCTGCACACAGGTTGTATGTCCATCCTACAGTTGGTAGAGGGTGATGGATAGAGGCACAAGGCATTTGGAAGAGCATTCAATCTCTAAGCTGTTACTTTGCATAACCCACAATAGTATTATTACTATTGTCAAAAACACATTAATAGGACATATGAAACCACTGAAGATGACATACCATTACATTCTAAACTGAGGGTTAAAGGTGCGTATAAGTTTGTGGGAGACAGAGAAAGGGGTCAGGAGAGTCTGGGAGGGTTGCCCAGAGAAAGGGGTCCTGGAGCTGGAAGGTGCTCATCCTCAGGGCCAGAGCCTGGTCCAGGTGCAGGGCCAGCAGAGGTCCCTGTCCCCTGGTACCAGGATGTCTGCTTGCATGAAGCAGCCCACTCTGTGGCCAGACCTCCAGCTGGGGTCCTGCAGGAGGGCTGGTGGGAATGGCTCGCAGGTGAGTGTGCCCACTGTACAGTTCACATGCCCTGTATTTGTACCTCTGTTTACAGCTTGGTTCCAGGCTGACGGTCACCACAGGGTCTGCAGGGGTTAGGGGTGGGTTTTGTCATTGACCAGCTGTGTGCCTGGGGGAATCACATGGCACTTTGGGCCACTGTAAAGTGGGTGATGACAACCTCTGCCCCTTGATGGCCTAAGAACTGGACAAGGTGAAACATGTGAATCGTCCATGGCTGGACATCAACTCTTCTATGCCTGTTATCCCGTGGGCAAGGGGTAGGGAGGGTCCCAGCAGAGGGGGCTAGCTGCATTGGCGAGCTGGGGAGGCCCAGCTCCGTCAAGGAAAAGAGGGTGGGCACCTGGGCAGATAAGTAACCTCACCATGGCCATCCGCCTCCAGGGTTTGGAGCTGGCACCAGGCCACAGTGGGGTCACCCATAACCGGAGATGTGGGAATGACCACACAGTTACAGCACCTGCTGAGCTGAAACTACTGTGGGAGACACAGGTGCTTGGTGGGCAAGGGAAGTTCAGGGGAGGCAAGGGGAGAAGTTGAGCAGAAGGGGCAAGCTGGGGCCCAGGGAGGAAGTGAGAAAGGATGGTTTCTCCAAAGAAATATACAGAAGAGGTCAAAGGGTCCCCACATGCTGAAGGATGCAGGGGAAGGCACAGGGGAGGGAAAGGTGTGCCGGCAGCCTGTCCCTTATGTAGAGGGGATTGAGCACAGGTGGCCAGACCCAGGGCTCCAAGAGTCAGCTGCATGCTTCCCCATTGCCCAGGTGTCCAGGAAAGACCCTGCCCCCACCAAGGCCAAAGTTGGGATGGGGAGTCAGGGTGTAACCAGCCCATAGCCCAATGCTAGTCATTTCCTGCCCTGGATTACCATGGGGCAGAAGGAGGCTGGAGTTGGACCTCTGGAAAGAAGTCAGCTGGTCCATGCCAGCCAGGCCACGGCTGGGACTTGTTCCTGTGGAGAAACAGCCCCCTCTTCGGCTCCTTCTCCAAGGTCCTGCCCCTATGGGCCTCCTGTCCTCTGAATCCTCCCTCCTGAGCTTACTCCCCCACCCACCACATCATCAGCCACGAGGATGCAGGTTGTGTTTCTAAAGTCCTGGGCTGTGCCCCAGGGTCCTCTTCTGTGAAAGGAGGGACTCTCCACTCCTCTAGCATTGGGGACCTCATTCTAGATGGCTTTCCCCAAAAAGGTCAGCAAAGAACCGAAGGGGCCACTGCAGCCCCTGCAACTCTCATAGGTGGCCTGGATCCTCGTCGCTGACGGGCACCTTCCCCGCTAAGTCCCGGAACACGCACACGCCCCAGCAGGGCCAGGCCCAGACCAGGCGACTTGGGGCCTGGATGTGGGTGGGGGTCGAGGTCCGGGGGGCGGTGCGCTGCGGACGGTGGCCGCGGGGGGCGCTGCGGGGGCCGACGTTAAAGCCCGAGCGCGGGCGTGCGCGCTCAGAGGGAGCCGGGCCGTTTCTGTTGCCGCTGTCGCCGCGCCCGCCCGCCCACCCCAGCGTCCCGGCTGCACCGGCCGCCGGAACCCCACTCCTCCGACTTGGCGCGGAGGCCGGGCGCCCGGTCCATGAGGCTCCCGAGCACGCCCAGCCCGGGCACCGGACCCCAGACCCGCACCTGAGCGCGCACACGGAGCGCGGGTGGCAGCCGGGGGCTGGGGCAGGATGGGGAAATTTCAGTCCAAGCACGGTGAGACGCGGGCCCGGGGCTGGCGGGCGGGCGGGGCCGGCGCCGGCCACTTACTGACCCTTCCCTCTCCCGCGCCCTCCCTCTGGCGCGTCGCAGCCGCTGCAGCCTTCAAGCGGAGAGAGAGCCCTGAAGGTGAGCGGGCCGGGTGGGGTGGCGAGCCGGCCGGGACCCCGAGCCGTGAGCCAGTCGTGCGTTCTGCCCTAGTGCCATCGGGTGGGGGGACCTTGCGGCTGGGTCTTCAAGAGCATGTAGGCCCCCACCCCATCCCACCCCCGGCTCCAGTTCCCCAGCTGGAGCCCTGCTCCCCAGGCCTCACGGAGATGGGGTGGGCGCGCCTGGCGGCGGGGGCACCTTTAAGGCGCAGTGCCCGCGGGGCTCACCTCGCGTCTCCTTCCCTCTTGGTGCCCGGTTCCCGCGCGTCCTCTCGCCGGGCCGCAGGGGACAGCTTCGTGGTGTCTTCGTACTCAAGTGGCCGCAAAGGCATGGTGGAGGCGGAGCGGCGTGGCGGCGTGGAGCACCGGGCGCGGGACAAGCAGGTAGGCGTGGCGAGATTCGGCCAGGGGGCTGGGCCCCTCGGGACCAGGGGCACCAGTACCAGAGTTGTGTCCCCTCGCTGGACCCAGACCTAGAAGGCGCAGGCTGAGAAGGCCGGGCGGGAGTGATGCCAGCTGGGCAGAGAGAACCTGCCCCTTCCAGCCTCCACAGTCCAGGCTGGGTGGGGGGCTCCGGCCGGTGAGCCGTTAGCATCCCAGGCTGGAGGCTTGGGGGAGAGGGCCCGATTTGCTGTAGGATCAATTGCTTGCACAGCAAAGATGGCCAGAATTAGAGGCCTCCCACCTGCATAGTGGTGACCACTGACCTACAGGGAGGCTCATGGGAAAGCCAGGCTCCACATGGACTAGAGCAGGGGCACCCAGCCTGCAGGTGCTCCCAGAGGCTGCAAGGGTCCTGTTCGGGTGGATCTGGAAGGTGTCGCATCCAGCAGAAGCAGAGAACTGCCGGCCAGAGGGTTGTGGGGGAGCACCAGAGGGGCCTTGGGTAAACCAGACCCGCACACGTTTGCCAAGCAGGAGAGAGTGGGTGTTAGATGGGCGTCAGTGTGAACCGGATCCGGGTAGATGGCCACAGCAGATGGCTGAGACCCCTACTCCCCCACTGCTGGCCCCCCAGCACCCCGTCCCACTGCTCACGGGAAGTCCTCTGTGTTTTTGGAATGACATGCTTCCGGCCAGTTGATAAGTGAAAAGTTCTGGGTGTATTTGAAAACACTGCAGCTCACCCTGGGAAGGGCCCAGATTCGCCCTGAAATCCAACTCATACTGGAGTTAGAGTTCCTGCTTTCTGGAAGGGGAGGTTTAACCCCACACCTGTGAAGGCAGGAAATACATTTTAAGGAATTTTCTGGGGGCATCGTAGTAACCTTGGATGGTAATGTTAGATAAGCCTGTGCTTCTCCGTCCTGAAGGATAAGGGCGAGTACCCAGGGAGCAGCCCAGGCCCGCCTCCTCCCTCCGAGGGAGGTGGGGGTGTTGATAACCAGATGGTGCCTCTGAGCTTGGTTCTCCTGTGTGTGGCATATAAATGGGGAAGGCAGGAAGCTGTGTGGGCATTAGCTTCATGGTCAAGGGTTTAGGCTGGGCCTGGTTCCACCAGCTGTACTGCCTGGGGCCTCTTCCCTGGGGCAGGGGCACGCTGGACCTGGCAGTGTTCACTCAGTCCTTAGGACTCTCTGGGCGCTCACTCTCGTTTGCTCAGAAGGCTGCGGCGGCAATAAAGAGGGCGGTTCCGGCAGCACCAAGCAGTGCCTCTTCTGGGCCGAGGGACTCAGTGGGAATGTGTTCTTGGAAATGAAAACCCGCTGGTGTCGCCGTGAGATTGTCAGAGCTGGGGTTGGAACTGACTCCTGGGACGTTTTTTGAAAGAATGGCGTGGGAGTTCACTTGGGTTTTTCCCTGTTAATTTTGCCCTCTGCTATGGTCTGAATGTTTGTGTTCCCCCCGCAAAATTCATACGTGGCTATCTGACCCCCAAGGTGATGGCGTTAGGAGGTGAAACAGTAAGGAGGTGAGAAGGTCACCAGGTGAAACCCTGCCCCAGAGATCACTGCCCCAGAGAGCCCCCTGCCAGGTCTGCCACAGGAGGACACGGCAGGAAGGTGCTGTGTCTGAATCAGGAAAGGGCTCTCAGCGCGTGCTGAGTCTGCTGGCACCCTGACCTGGGACGTCCAGCCTCCAGAACTGTGAGGAATAAATTTCTGCTGTTTATAAGCCACCCAGTCAGCGGTGTTTGTTGAAGTAGCCTGAACAGATTAAGATGTGCTCATCTCATGAAAGAAAGTTCCTTTCAACACCAAGATGTAGAAAGAGCAAAATCTCAGACTAGAAGATGGTCCTTTAAATTAAATACATTTTAGCTTTACGACAATGGTTCTACTTTTTTCTTATCTTCCTCCTTTGGCCGTGGTGCTGCAAACCCCTGGCCAAGCACCAGCCTGAAGTTTAGATCTCCTGGGCCAGGCACACCCTGCCACCGATGCACAGGTGTCCTCACCACTGCCAGGTTGCTGCTGCCCTGCTTGCCAGGCAACAATGGGCGCACACGGGGGTGGCTCCCACCCAGGTTCAATGCAAACCTTGCCTAACCACCCCTGCTCCGGGTTCTGCCCTGGAAGTTGCTTGATTGTGGGATGTTTGGGTGTTATGTCCTATATGTCCTATAAATCTCCTGTTTCCAGCCCATTGTCCTGTGACCTTCCCTTTGTGTGGTGCCCAGAACTCCATCCTTCATCTCTGCACTCCCAGGCGATACCCCCAAGGAAAGCCAGCCCGGATCAAGCAGCACACTCAGAGAGTGTGACTCGCTCCCGCCTTCCCTGAAGTTCGCCCTGCATGTCCATGCAGGCCGACCCCCTTGCACTACGTTGCCCAACAACTGTGGCAAATGACCACATGGCAATAAAGTGCATCTAACTATCACCTGCCCTCCCCCGCCTCCCAAAATAAAGGAAATGAAGTTTGTTTTGCCCATTAATTTTTAGTGAGCTAGCTACATTAGCTCCTGGTATCTGCTTAGTGCACAGCTAAAAAAATTCTTATAAAGATGAGCATTTTCCAGGCAGGTGCGCTCCCTGCTTCACAGTGTAAAATGGTGTTCCTTGTTGACTCTGAGAAAAGCTGTAGTCTGCCTGTGGCAGGAGCTGCGTCAGTTCGTTGCTGAGTACCCCTGAAGGGCCAGGGCTGTGCCAGGGTGAGGTGGGATGTTGGCAAGCACAGCACAGGGAATCTAAGAAGTGGAGTAGCTGAGGTCATACGTGTGTTAAAACCATGAGTGACAGGCAGTAGCACCAGCAGCACTGGGCAGTGCTATTTCTGAAGGTGGCACCAGCACAGAGCAGCAGAATCATGGTTACGGGTGGGGCTGGCCACGGAACACAGGCATCGTGGTGAGGCTCTGCAAGACACAGCTGTCCCTGGGCCAGAAACATGCCCTTCACTGCACAGCATTGCCCGCCATCTGTCTGCCTCGCTGCGGTTTTTCCAGCGGAAAAGTTCAGGAGATAAGAATCACTGCTAACAATTGAAATTTTGTTGTGGATAAAACACAGATTTCCACTAAGTAAACCTGAACAAGGGATGTTTGGGCAACTTTGGAGGTGGTGATTTGACTGAAACTTGAACAGAAGTGCGTGAGTCCAGGGCGCCACTAGGGCCTTGGCCTGCTGAATGGTGGGACTCCCAGGTGTCTTTGCTTTCAGTTCCCAAGACTTTGTGACAGGCAGCTGGGAAGGGCTCTGCTCGTACTGCCTTGGGTGGGTCTCGGCTTTAAGGATCTGCACACCAGTTCCACACATGTGCACATGGCAGTTTTGTGTGCACCGACATTTTGCACTTGTTCCTGTTGGAGGCAGCCTTGCAGGGACTCGGGATGGCGAGCCCTGAAACCCCACAGAGACTCACCTCTGGATGAGGCTCTGGCTCCCAGCAAACTCCATCTGCCCTGCGTGTGGTCTTGTCCACAGGTGGCCTCTCACTGCTTTTGGAATCTGGGGGTCAGACACTCCTTGTCCTGGCAGCAGGCTTTCGTCCCACGGTGGTGTGGCAGAGCTGCTCCATCCTGCTCTCCTGGCAGCCCGAGAGCCAGCGCTCACCTGCCCGCCTACCTGCCACACCACCAGAGCACATGGCAGCAGCAGGATTTACACATCTTAGTTAAGAGTGGTTGAGATGTTAACTCTGTGGCTTCTTGTTGAAATCCCTGGGAAATTCCCTTGGCTTTGCGCAAAGCCTGGACACCACCACATCTGCAATCAACATAGCGAACTGTGGTGTGGGTCGGGGAGTAAATCACAGGTTTGCAGGAGACACCCAAGAGGGATGAGGAGGTGTGGATGCCATGGCTCATCCTTGGCTACCTGGCCATAGGCCTCATGAAAGGAAACTTTCAGTGAGACAGGTGCAGGTCCTCCAGCCACAGTGCAACTCCTCAGGATGACCTTCGGTCTTCTGTGACCTGTGCTCTGGGACATGAACCTCATGGGGTGCCAGCCTTTGCGGGGTGTCTGGGCATCAGGGCTGAGGGCGCTTCACTTCTTTTGGCGTCCATGGTGGGAACCCGTGACACCAGCAGCCATGTCTCTGCCCTCACCCGTGGGCCTGCTGTGCAGTGAGGCCGGCACAGATATGCACAGAAGCCTGAAGGCACATGTGAATGTGGGGATGCTGACAACAGTCCTAGGGGTCCAGGCCTCACCGAGCACCAGGGGCCTGTTCCCCAGGTCAGCTGCATCAGCTCCTCATGCCCACCCATGCTTCTGAAATTGCAAATGGCTCTCCTGGACCCCACTCTACCTAAGGATGAACCAAGTGGTCCCAACCGGTTCACACCTGAGAAGCCGCCGGGGCACTCTGTGAGTAACGCCTCCTGGAAAGGGGTTGGAACTGACCTAAGGACCCTGTGAGGGAGCTTGCGCTCTGGGTGTGTTTCCGGAGTACACAGCTGAAGTTGGCATCCTTTCCTCACCTGGAGATGTGGACAGGTGCTGTCTGCAGGCAGGACTCCCAGAGAGTGGAGGATCCACCGTACTCACCTGGCTTTCCCCCGTGTCGGCGGGGATTGCAGGAGGTGCTGGGGCCATCTGCGGGCATGCAGCCAGCAGCATCAGACACTCAGGAGGGGATGAGGGCAGCACGGATGGCTGGATGCCATGCAGCTGCACCTGCCCCAACCAGGTGCCCATGGAGGGGCTGCTGTGGGTGGTAGTTCAGCCACCCAGGGGCAGTGTGTGTGCCCACCTCTCGTTAGCTCAGGTGTGGGCACCCTCATGGTATGTGTCAAAGACTCTGATGTCCATGAGGTGAGAATAAGCTGGGACTCTGGCCTCGGGGCTAGGCCAGCAGGTCTGTGATGGCTACAGTGGGACCTGAGGCCAGCTGCAGAGCCTCTCCCCCATGCCAGGACAGTGGTCAGCAAAGGCACTTCCCCTGAGATGTTGTTTTCGAGAGAAGCTCCCAGAAAGCTGTTGCAGACACAGCACGTG